ATCATATTCCAAGAAAGGGCTTTGCTCTAATTATTCCAGGAATGAATCCTGAGCAGGTGAAGGAAGTACTGGCTGCAATATGCAACTGGGAAATCAGAGAAAAACACTCTTTGCTTTTAAAGTACACTCATCAAATATTTGGCAGCTTTAAGTTGTGGTTGCTCTGTGTGGCACTGCAGATTTCTGGTTAGAAACCCTTGGTGCTTCCCTTCCATCAGGTGTTGCTGCTTTCCCTGCTGCAGGGGGGTTTATGCAGCAATAATTTGCACCTGCAGAGTGGAACTGGGGCAGGTGTAAAGGGAGCTTGGGCAGAAGGAGCCCACAGATATTTTTGATGACAGAAAGCAAAGGGAATTTTGTGCCCTGGCCTCCCAACACGCAGGCTGAGGTGTGAGAGCATTTTTGACTACAAAGGCAAGAAAAAAGAGAAAGGTGTGAATAATTAAGAGGAATGGAAATGCCACAGAAAGAAATGCTCATAAATTGGCTGTAAATAAAGTTAAGCTTGAAATAAGAAGTTTGCCAAAATAATTGGGAATTTCTTTCTATCCCTGATACACACTGGGATGTGAAGGGAGGGGCTTTAGAGTGTTTGGAATTTGGAGTTAAAGGAATTGAGAGTTTTAGCTCATGTCATGATACCTGATGGAATTATAAACCTGTCATATTTCCAGTGGCATTTTTTACCTTACTAACTGAAAATCTCAGTGGGGGTATTGAAGTAAGAGCTGAACTGAACCCCAAAAGTCCATCTCATGCTTTGCCAGCTGTCACTGTAACGTGGGAAAAGCTCCTCACCTGGTTTGCTCTCAGGAAAACAGCCTTGGCAAAGGAATACAGCACAATATAGCAAGATTTTATGTCAGTTCCCTGCAAGCCTAATTCTGCCTTTCAAGAAAATCCAGGAGGATGGCTTGGCTAACTTGCATCTTCAGAAATGGGGGATGGAAAAGAATATCTTAAAAAAGAAAGTCCCTTAAGTAGGCTTTTAAAAATATATATTTAAAGGGAAATTAGTGTCTGACTTAGAGACAGGAGCATTTCCTTTTGCCATTTTAAAGTAATTTTTAAATTGATTTGCCCATTTAAACAATGCAGGCTGAACATGGTTATTGAGAATACTGGGATTTATCAAGGCTAAATAAGATAATTTTCTGTAGAACAGATCCTGTAGATTAGGCAGGGTGACCAGCTGAGGAACAGTGAGCCCACAGGCAAACCCTCACCCAATGTGATTTAATAGGAATGCTGGGATAGAGGGGGCTGAGGGGTTTTTACTTCATGTGCCCTGTGGGGAACATTCAGTGTGAAGTTTGGAGAGGATTGGAACCATTCTGAAGGTGAATCCCTGCATCTCCTGAGCAGCCATTCCTCAGGGATGCTGTGTCAGACACTCATGAGGCTCAGATGCAAAAGGAATCCCCTTGCTTGCCTAAAGCTCTGTACATGCCATTAATATCCAGTCACTAAGGAGTGAAAAAGCACTTATGCAGTGGGGTGAGATGCATTTCCCTGGCCACAAGGTGAGAAGTTGATAAAATTCCTTTCCTGCTGTGAAATCTCCTCATTGCTTGGATTTACTGACTCTCCTAAAGAAAATGTAATTGTTTTTAATTTACTTGGACTTTAGTTGGTACTGTAATTCAATCCACTTCAAACATGGGAACTCAATTTATTTTTAACCAGCTTCCTTGCTATGTCTTTGTAAGAAGATAACTAGCAATGCTCACTAGAAGTGTGTGTTACACAGAACTCAGCACAGAGAACGTGAGCTCATGATTTCTGCCTATAAAGGTTTCATCCCCACAGTGCCAACAGTGTGGTTTTACTCCCACTGTTGAACAAAATGCAGATATTGGATTTACAGGCTTTCCAGTGTTTCTTTCCAAGCCATATTGACCAAGATGATAGGTAAGGTGTGGCAGGGAGTTTGTGCTTCCCTTCTGTCCTGGCTGGATGTGTTCAGTTTGCTCATTTGGAGGGATTTGAATTCTGTGGTTTAGAATTGTTGGGAGATCACTGGGATCATCTTTCTTAGAAACAAAGGCTTTGCCATGTCTGGTGACACAGACTGTGAAACATTGACTTCCAGCCCTGCTGCCAGTATCTGTCCATATCAGAAATATTCTCTGAAATACAAACCCCACATATTCTGAAACTGCTTGGTTCATACCCCCTGTATTTTGTTTTTCTATTTCCCATCTACACCTCATGTAAAATCAATGTGACAGATGCTAGCACAGATCTGAGATTAATTAAAAAGCCATTAACTATCCTAAAGGGATGTTTATAGATAGCAGCACTGTATATTTTGGGCTGTCAAAACAAATTGACCAAATGGCTTCTCTGTAACCACCCTGCAACCACAGCAGGCTAATGACAGAATTCCATGCCTGGCATCCCTCTAAATCTAATGCAAGAAAGGGGTTAGTGGAAGTGTCTGTGCAGATAATCAGATTGAGTCACAAATGAAACTTGTGATTCAGAGATCAGAGCAAATACTAATATCCCAAGGCATTTTTCATAGATTAATTTACCAATAACAATTTTTTCTATAAATAGTATTTTGTATAAACAGTTCTTGGACTTCCACCTGGAGAGTTGGGGGTGGGCAGCCTGAACAGGGAGATCTCCCTCAGCCCAGACATGGGGACTGACTCTGGGTTTCATCAGCCTTCCCCTTCAATCCCTTTTCCACTCATTTTGTGGTTTAAAGCTCAGTTATAAAATCTAAATAAGCACCCCTTGGCCAGACAGTGTTGTGCTTTCTGCTGAAACCACTGCAGTGTGTGGTCTGGCAGGAGGGGTGAGGAGCTGCACTGGGGGCTGCAGTGCAGCTGGCCTTGCAGCACCAGGTGGATACAAGGAAATTATCCTGGCAGCACCCACTGCTTTTTACCCACTGAACTCTCTCACTTCAAAGATTTTTAGGAGTTATTTACCAGTGCAGTTGCTTTCCTTGCTGCTCTTCATTTCTGTTCTGCTGATGCCACAGCTGCATCATTAGCTTTTGGCCATGCTAGTTTAGCTTTAAATTACATCTTGCCTTCCAGGAATTAGGAGGAGGAATTGCATTCATTTAGGCAGTGCTATGTTTCAGTAAACCTACTCTTCAAAATATTATCATGTGCAATGAGATTGATCCCAGGGAGTTAATATTTTAAATGCACAAGGTCAGGCATGTCTTGTTTCTGCTTCCAGGCCATTTCTGACAGTCAGCTTTCAAATAATTTCCATGCTCTACTAATTAAAAACAGACACTGCAGTGTTATGCCATGCAGGAGAATATAAAGGAAATGTACAGGAATTTTTCAGGCTTCACATAATGCATAACTCAGACAGTGCCTCTCACCCTGTGCTTTCTGAGCAGTTACAATGGTCTGGAGAATGCATTAATAGCAAGTTTGAAAGTCTCCATGTAGCTTTGCTTTCAGCCATCTTCTTTCCCTGAAGTTCCCCAAGTTGTGTTGCTAAGATATAAAATTTACTAAGATTTTGATGATTTGCCAAAGCTACTTTTTCTAAAATATTGAACTGCAGTGGCAGTGAGAAAGCAGCCAAAGCATTCACAACAATCTTTCCCTTGGGCCTGTGATGCAGGGCTGTGATTGCTGAGATGAGCAGTGGTTTCAGTGTGGGCAGAGTGGATCCTCAGGGACACTCAGCCCAGCAGGGAACCTGAGGAGGCAGCGGCTGGACACCTTTATGTGTCCCAGAATGTTCTGAGAACAGGTAGGACACAAGACAACTAACCCTTGGCAGGCTTGTCACAGAGCCACTGCAGAATTTACTGCAAACTGTGAACAATCTGTGCTGTCCTGTGCCACTCACATCTCCTTCAAACACAACCCCACAGAAATGGAAAAAAACTTCTCTGTGTCTGTTTCCAACTGGAAATGGAATCATCCTTTGGTACAATCTTTGATGATCTGTCAGCTAAAGAACTATATTGTCAGTTTGTTCTCAGGAATCTGGCCAGCTGCCCACTCAGAGTTTGCTTGGGTGTCAGCTGGCTGCCTTTTATTAGGAAAGATTCGTGGGTGTGGGCCCAAAATCCAGTCTAAATTCCTAAGTGGGTTTATATGAAATTGTACACATTTAGATGCCAGGCTCAGAGTAATTTTTCACATGTGAGCTTTCTGGTAAAATATTTACACAACCCCTAAAAGCCCATTAGTTATATAGGATGAGCAGGTAATACATAACTGCTGCTTGTAGAACATGCATGGAATAAAAAAAGCAAAGATCCATGTCTGGTGTGCTCATAGTGCTGAGCTGCTCTGTATCACAGTCAGAAAAGGGCTGGTCTGATAGTGCTTTAACTCAAAAAGAGTCTGCTTAAAAGGAAAAAAAAATAAAAGAAAGGGGAGCATGGCTGTCCAACCTGTGTTTGCTGTTTGTAACAGCACTGCAGAAAGCTTGAAGTGATGTTCTGCTTAAAGTGATTTCTGTGGGTTCATTGGAGGGAGTGCCTGAATTCCTTAATTTCTGGACCTCAAGGGGCCTGAGGCACATAAAGGAGATGCCCATGGCCCAAAGTGCAGCTCCTGTGGCTCACAAGTGAGCCTGGACCTGTGAATGTGGGCACACAATTTAGCAGCTGCTGTATAATTTCTGGAATTTTGTTTTTCTGTTTCCTCTGATCTGAACGTTCTCAAGGTCAATAATAAATATAACATGGAAATTCTTGGAAAAAGTATGTATTTTTGACTTTGAAACTTTGACTTGTAAATGCATTTGTTCAAAGAAAGATGATTTTAAGTGATTCTACTTGCATGTTTCATTAGTACATTATCACTATGATAAATTTGAATGTGAATAACACTGAATGAGAATTCCTGTCCATCTCTATTTAGTGAATATATCTTCTGCTAAGGAAAACTTGAACTTATACTCAAGCTAAACAAGTTCTGTCTGTATTCAGAATTTGTGAGCTGAATTTTTGCAGTGAGCTTTGCCAGTGCAGGGCTGTAACCCTGAGAATGTCAGGAAGTGCTTACCATGGAGGTGGATCAGGATACATGATGTTCACCTGAGAAAGGATGTCCAGGTAGGAGTCAAAATCACAGCCTGGGGGCAGCTCCTCGCTGCAGGTGGATCTCAGCTCTGCCGAGGAGCCGCCGTGGGAGAAACCATCGGGAGCTGCAAAACAAGAATTTACATTGGCTGCTCTTCCTCCTGTGCTGGGTGCTCTGTCACTCATGTACAACACTGAAATCAGAAAACAAACCCTTCCTGAGGCACACGAGTTGTGGGTGTTTTGGAACAATCAGTTTTCATGGGATATTTTTATTTCTTTAGAAGTAAATGAAGCCCATCTGTAGGTGAGCTTACTCTGGCACACAGCGCTGTGCCTTTAGTGCTGCACTTGGAAGTTCCAAAGCTTTTCTTTGTCCTCAAAAGCTGAAAAGGAGGGTGGGTTCCACCATGTGCAGCTTCAGTTGTTTGTGGGGTGACTGAAATTCCAGCAGCTGCATCCATGGGAAGTTTGTCCATCCTGGGAGGTGTAACAGGAGGGGCAGAGAAAATGCGTGCTGAGAAAATGCTGCTCTCAGTAAACACTGACAAAAATGGGGAAAGCTGGAAAAGAGCACAGAAAAATCATCCTGCTGCCAGGGACTTCTTAATGCTTCCATGCAAGAGCTTCCCAGCTCCACAAATATCAAGAGTTTAGTGCTGTTTTCTGTGTTAGAGGCTAATTAGTGTGTGTGTGTGTCCATGTATATAGTGTGGCACAATTTAGTTTAGGATTATTCTTTTGAATATCTCCCCAACTCTAACATTGTTATATCTAGCAAGGAGTTTGGAAATTTTCCTTTCTGTTTTTTGCCTGGCTTTAGGCTTTTTCAAGGAGTTGAAGCTATCAGAGTAGTAGATTTAAACACAGTGATTAAAGCTTATTGGTCAGTATTTATCATGCCAAAATATTGGGCCAAAAAGTAACTCCAGTTTGGGTTTAACTATTGAATCCTCAATGTAGCTGCTGAAAATTAGGACAATTGATATTACTGTAATAGCAGGCATTAGTTTTCTGGATTTTGTTTTTATTTTCCCTCTGTAGGTTGCCATGGGACTTTGCATTTCAATTGTTTTTTGACTCTAAATTTGATTTCCAAAATATAGATGTTATTCACTTATCTGGATAAATATTTCTGGGAAAGCCAAAAAGAAATGATTCCTTGCTCCAAGAGGACAAACTGATCCTGAGATTTTGTTTAGTTTAGACATAAGAATCCCTGGTCTAAATTACTAAATGAAGTTCAATTGACTTCAATGGATAATTTATTTTACCTCAGTGAAAACAACATTTTAGCCAATGCATTTTTATGTGTTTCACTATTATTGGCTTTTCTATATAAATAAAGAACCTCTCAATGATCTGCACAGAACTGCACCCATAACAACCTGCAGGTGGAGGATGTACTCACAGGTGGAGGATGTGCTCACAGGGGATATGGTTGTTGATGCTCCACCATTTATCACTGGAACTTTTACTGTCTGGAGAATTACACAGTAACTTTTAAAACTGTTTTGTTTTTTCCTCAAATAGAAATAATCTTCTCTCATTTTCTTAACAAAGTGGCTTGTTAGCAAAGCCCAAAAGGGCTGAAAACACAACTCAAAAATTAACTCCTTGATATTCCCAAATTATCTTTAAGGTTTTTTGGTGATGTGTTGGTTTTGTTTTATGGGTTTTATTTTGGTTAGGAGGTAGGAACTGGCACCTTTTTGAGTCTGTAACGATGATGGCTGTGGTGACACCGATGCCATCACTGACACTGTTAATGGTGGTGACAGTTTAATGACATTTGGGTGCCCTGTTGTTCTGTTCCCAGGCAGATATTCACTTTTGCACTCAGACAAACGGCACTTGCCCAGTGATTGTTGTAGGCTGGTGCACTTGGCTGAAATGAGAACAGCTTTGCCTTTCTGAGAAATAGAAATTCCAGCACATGCTGCACCAGGGCTATAGGGGGATGTGAAAATACAGCAGAGAATAAATCTTGTCCTGTACTGAGGGAAATGAGCTGTTCAGGGGGCGCTGGCCGCACTGGCTGGTTCTGTTAACCATGACCCGAGTGGGAACCCAGCACAGAGCTGTGTTACCCTGCCAGGCTGCCTGGACCCATCCCGTTATTCCATGTCATTCCCAGCCCTGCCCGTGCCCGATCAGGCATTCCCAGTGCCCCCTTACTGTGACCGATACCGTTATTCCATGTCATTCCCAGCCCTGCCCGTTCCCGGTGCCCCCTTACCACTGATCCCGTTATTCCATATCCATCCCCAGCCCTGCCCGTTCCCGGTGCCCCCTTACCA